TTATTAAAACAAACCACTCCAGCTGAATACGAATTACAGAGTGGTCTTCAGGGCTTTTGTCTCCGAGGTATTCTAAGAAAACCACTGTCATTCGAAAGGGAAGTCTATTCGTTATTTTAAGAAAAAAAAACCGACCCATTGACCTATTCCAGGTCTGCATTCTGATATCTCAGGAACTCTCCCATCCTGAATTATCATCCTGCTGTTGTTACCTGCTTTTTGGCCTTGGTGAGTCACCATGTGGTACCCAAACGCACATCATGGTTGCACATGAATGATTCGTATGTTGTGGTTCTATCTTGCAGACGGTGTATGTGTCTAGTAACTTCGTAACCATTGAAACCAAAGGTACTGTTTCCTTTCAGTTTTTGGGGAATCCTTTTGTTTTGTTTTGTTTTATTTTTTGTGTTATTTTTTCTAGTTTATTTGCTCTGTATGATTTTCTTATTCAGAGATTTTATGCGCTCAGTAACCCAGTGTAGTGTAATCTGTTATTTGCTTATCGATGAAAGACTTAGATGCTGTTTGTATGGTCATCTGTTTTTGTAATCACCCTGAAGTTGGCTATCAACTGAGGGGCTTTCACGCTATAAATTGCTAAGTTAAAAGGGAGAGGCTGCAAAGCCTTCATGCTGCTTTGTGTCCTTAGCTTTGTTAAGGCATGTCTAATCCATGTTTATCATTACTCAGAGAAACCTAAAAGAACCATTACAGCAATTGGTGAACTGGTAGTGTTGAATTGTGAGGCTAGTGGAGACCCTGAGGCCTCTGTTACCTGGACCAGAGATGGACTTCCTAGTAGAGCTCACGCTCAGTCGGAAAACAACGTCAAAATACTTTTCATAAAAGATGTTATTCCTGCTGACAGTGGCGTTTATGAATGTAAGAGAGTGAACATATTTGGAGAGAGCCGTACAGCTACGATAGTTTTTGTCGCGGGTACGTAGAAACTGATTTCCTTCTTTTTTCAGATAATTATGATGTTTTATTAAAATACACATAGTGGCATAAAGACTGAATTGCAATGTGCTTACATAAGTTACAACAAGAAATAAAATTACATTTGTTTCAAAGGGAATGGGATTACAGGCTATTTATAGATTATTTACAATTCAGATATAGATAAAATACTATGATAGAGATAACCAAGCTCATAAGATAGTTGATTTTCGCCATTGCTGGGAAAAACTAGAACCAAAGCCGTTTTGTTCTATACTGAAAACGGCTGGAACTACTACTTTTCCTGAGATGGTATGAGTGACACTCGGATCGCACGGGAGGGAGGAAACAGTACAGCTGGCAAGCCGGATTATTTTTGATATTGTACCACGCTTGGAGACACAGGTGGGCGCGTCTCTCCTCTAAACTGGTAATGTTGGCTTGTACAAGGGCCTGTTGACAGTGGAAGTCAGGATATACGATTTGCAGGGCCCTCTTCTAGATAGCCTCAAGCTGGTCAATGAGGAAGCGAGGAAGGAAGGTTGCCCAGACAACAGAAAAGTATTCTAGAACAGAGCGAACCAGAGCGCTATAGATGGTGACAAGATCCACTGGAGGGACTCCAGCGCGCTTCAAGACCCTGAGGATGTGCAGTCGCTTGGACGTCTTGCAAACGATGTTGTTGGTGTTATCGTTCCACTTCAAGGTGTCCCTCAGGGTCAGACGAAGTACTTTGTAGGATGACACAGCCTATAGATGTAAATTATTGATGGAAAGCATTGGGGCAACAGGCTTGGTTCTGAGTGGACAAATGGTCATCATCTTGCATTTTTTAGGGTTGAGATTCATGTTGTTCTGCTGGGCGCATTGCGAATTGCAGTGGATCTCGTTCTGCAGAAATGATGCTTCCCCCAAACTGGTAACTTCGGATATTGTTACATCATCGACGTACTTCCAGTGGCTCGAGCGGAGGGGGGAGTCAATAGCCAGGTCATTAATCATTATCACAAAAAGGATTGGACCCAATTTGGTGCCCCGGGGGACATCGGCACCTACGGGCATCCACCCTGAGACGAAGTCAAAGAGCTGAACAGCCTGACGGCGGCCACTGAGGAAGCTGCAAATCCGGCTGATCAACCATCCTCTAGCACCTAGATGGATTAGCTTGGTCACCAAGATGGTGTGGTCAATATGATCAAATGCTTTACTTAGAAAGCACACACGAAGGAACTTCCCAGGACAGTCAAGGGACGACAGCCAGTCGTGTGCCACTGTTTTGTCCTGACTGCATTTTGATGTCATCTGTGATCAAAAACGGAACAGACGCACGGGAGCATCCAAACAGTACCTCGGTTCGTGACACACCTCTTGTTCTAGTTCGCTAAAAGAAGCAATAAGCAATGAAATAATTCATTTCAACTGTCTTCCTTCTTCATTCAAAATTCATTTCTTAAACCTCTCATGTTTTATTTGTAACTGTGTAATTAGATTTTTTGCTTTTGCTGTATGTTAAATATGCAGCTTGATCTTAACCTTTAAAACTGTCATAACTCTCGGATGAGAGGTAAACTAGATCTATAATTTTGGTGAGGTTCCCAAACTAAACGAAACCTCTTAAAAGACAATTACACATAACCTCGTCAACTTGGCTTGACGAATCCGTGTTATCAAGATGTGAATTAATCTAGATATACCGTTAGAGTCAGTGTCACAGTATAAAATTTAAATTCAAATTAAATTGTGTTCTGAACCACTAGTAAAAATGAGAGCCATTAGGTGTAAACGATAGCAAAGCTTAATAAAGTGATATCTCTTTCTCTCATAAATTACCTTTTAAAGACTGAAGGTTCTTTTTTTTTAGTCGTTTATTGGACATTAGGAATGTTTTCAATATATTTTTAGGCGCAGTAAATTTTTTTCAACTGTTAAAGC